GCTTGGCAATGTGAGAGCCTGGTCCGGTGAGAACCCGGCCTGCTCCGTCCCGGCTTTGTAGGGATGCGAGGCCAATGGCCTAACGACTGCGGCGCACGACTATGAGTACACTCCCCCCCCAACACCGCAAAGCCGTGCTTCCCGCTCTCTTACCTTGGCTTGCATGCCCTTCCGCTCCCCCGCCAGCTTGTCCAGGTCCCTCCTCAGCCCACGGATTTTCTCTAGCGTGAGCAGCCTCCCGGCCCTCTCGTCGTGGTACCCGCCGGAGATGCTACCCTTGCGGTTGAACTCATCCCCGTTCATGGTCACCACGTCCATGTCACACTCTTTCTGCAGGGGCATCAAAAGTTTATGCCAGAGAGCGGGGAGGCGGCGGGGGGTGGGGCGAACAGGGTGCATTAGTGTTGACTCGTTATTTCGATACTTCAGCGACGTTGCCGGTGACCACGCCTCCCAATCGAACGGTGTACGAGAGGGGGGGGGTAGAGTCGTGCCCCTGCATGGGTCTACCTACGCATGCATCTACTTCCGAAGGGACGGCCGATGTGTGCATGTGGGGTTGGAATTCGGGGCCAAAAGTCGCCCCCTCACGTCATTCCCGATTCCAAGGTAGACTATGCATCAGCCAAAAGCAGCAAAAACAACCTCCAAGGGGACACACAAGTAGCCAAGCCAGTGCGTGTGTGTGTTTCTATATTATTGGCATCGACCGAGCTAACCGGCTGACCAATGAAAAGACGTCAGCCTCAGTGCGGTTCAAAATGTGCGTTGCGTGTATTTGTCCCATGTATTCATTCTGGCGCCAGTCTACAAGGGTTGAAAGAGCGAAAAAAGGGCTAATTGAAGGACCAACGAAAGGTTAAACTGCCCCGTGCACTCTTACCCGCTCCGAGTATTTTGAGGCCGTTTCCAAGTCCTTCGCCAGGAGCTTCTTCCCGAAGATCTGCTCCATCGCGGGCTTCACCTCCGGTCTGAACTTGATCGCAGCCTGGGATCAAACCAGTGGGAGAGGGAGGCGGATAGGTGTCGTTGTACCTCTATTGGTGAACTTCCGACGAGTTCGAATAAACCTCTTCCCTCGAGGAGGGGGGGGGGATGACAGGTGCCCGTTGTTTTTGTTGTGAGCGTCCTCATTAGCCCTTTGGGAAACACCAATCGGCTCTCTCTCTCTCTCTCTCTCTCTCTCTCTCTCTCTCTCTCTTTCTCTTTCTCTTTTCTGTGTGTCCCTGTTTCTGTTTCTGTCTCTGTCTCTGTCTTCTCTCTCCACCACCAGAACACCTAAGAAACAGCGACAGGTCCTCGTCGAGGTTGGTTTCACCTCTCCCCCTAGGATTAACGTGAGCCACCGTCACAAAACGCCTTTGACCTTACAAAAATAGTAAGTGCTAAGAGTGTGCCTCTCTTTTGGCATCCACGACAGTTTTCTGCAGTCAAAAGTGGAGAGCTCAAAAACAAACCTCGTCAAAAGAAAGGAATCGATTGCATCAAAGCCCCACGCAAAGCCCACCACCATCCTGCACGTCCACTGGCCCGCTTCACGACTACCAAGACGCGTACCTCCATGAGACATCAGAATGGAACGGACACACGTAACACACGCTACGACCATATTATAAAAAGACGCGAAAACACTCCAACTCGCAGCCATAGTCTAGCCAACCGGCCACGAGCGACACTTTTCCCGGCTCCAGCATTTCCCCCCCGCCGCCCCGAGCCCTCTTCTGCAGCATATCCCAACAAACAGAAACGCGCGGGTAATGAAGTCGGTCCTTTACCTCGATGAGATAAGCCACGACCTTGTTCCCTAGCTCCTTCCGGGGGGCCATCCTCGTGGCCAGCTTGTTGAGGGGCATGAACGTCACCCTCCCCAGCTTCCTCCTCTCGAGCATGTGCATGAGCTTGGCGGCGGTGTGGTCGTTGTCCACGATCACGTTGAAGATCGTGTTACCAGCCGCTACCTGTGTGTTTTATCGTGAGCATCAACCGCGCCACAGCTGAAAATACGGTAAACCATGGGAAACGCTAAAACGTACCATCGATGAAAGAGCATGAGCAGACAAAGTGGTTGTGTAGGGAACTCTGCAGTCATCTTGTCGGCGTTTCGGGTGTGCACCGCAGACTCCGTTTCCCCTCTATAAAACCCATTGGACTAACAAAAACCAACATCCCCGCAGTCGATCGAAGTTAGGTCAAGACAAGCGAGGTGGGCATCAAGCAAAATCTATTGGATGCCAAGGACCGTAACAATGGGTACCGAATCAGCCCGAGGCAACAGGTGAACTCAGGCACACGAGGCACCACACACCACAGAGACAGATTACACCATCTTAACACACGCGCGAGAGACTTAAAACAGAGGCGTTACACCCTTAAAACAGAGGCGGTACACCCCGATCCACCCCGCCACCCAACACCACCCCGCTACCCAGCACCACCTCACACCTCGACGGCCGTTGCCAGAACCGGATCCCTCAGGGCGAAGTTCTCGTACACCGGACCGTAGTACCCCTCGATGCGCTGGACGACGACGACGACAACGACAACGAGGCCAGAAAAGAAGTGAAGAGGGACACGAGTATGACGGGGGCACGATATGACTAGCGGTGAGGGGCACGGGGGGTGGGGGGGGTGGGGGGGGAGGCGAACGAACGGGACTATTGAAGCCATGACGTCACGACAGCTGGGCTACAAGACAGCAGTTGTCAGCGCGCGTTGGACGAGAAAAGAGGGGGCAGCGGGGAGGGGAGGGGACACGAAGAAAGCACCACCGAAATGCACACGCAATCGCAACACGCACAAAACAACAAGAGCTACAGCTTTGTCAGCACATGTAGAAGCCGAAATCAAGCCACTATAGACTCCAGCCAGCGCTGGAAAGTCTATTTATTCTATTTCGGCGTCTACAGCACGCCACCAGCGCTGCTCGAAAGTCTTGGTATCTAGTGACGGGGGGTAGACAAAAGAAGGAGATATCGCAGAAGACTGATTGTACCTGCTCCTTGACGAGAGCTTCTACGGCGTCCAGTCCTGAGGCCACGCTTCGAGGCATGGCAAAGCGGAGGTCACGCTCGCTCTTCTCCAGCGCGGCCTTCTGCTCCGAAATGCGGTCCTGCACGACACAGAAGAGACGGAAGGGATCGAAGGAGGAACAGAGTGACGAATGGAGAGAGAAGAGAGAGAGAGAGAGAGAGAGAGAGAGAGAGAGAGAGAGGCCACGAGAAAGGCAGCAGGGGGGGGTCGCAGGGAGACAGGAAAGGGAAGGTGCGGACAGAGAGAGAGAGAGAGAGGTAGAGAGCGGGAGGTAAGGAGCATTAAGAATGAGAGAGAGACAGATATTGGAGCAGAGATCAGCAGAGACAGAGAGAGAGAGGGAGAGGGGGGGGGGGGGGGGGGGGTGGGGGGGGGGGGGGACCCTTGGCGGGGGCGGGGCTGTCCTTGTGCCTGGGGCCCCCCGCCCCCCTCGTACGCCGGGGGGGGGCCGCCGGGGTTTCCCCCGGGCCGGGGTTCCCCTCCCCCTGCGGCGAGCCCCCCGGGGGTTTTTGGGGGGCCGCCGGGGGGGGGGGCCGCCCCCGGCCGGGGGGGTTCGGGCCCTGGGGCTTCCTTCCTGGGGGCGGGGGGGGCCCCCCGG